AAAAAGCCATGAGGTATCCACCCCCAAGAGCGGGTCAACCTGCTGTTGACGTACACCGGTAACTTATGGTGTTGTTGCTGACGCCGACGAAGATCATACTGCTGTAGTTGCTTCGAAACCTTCACGTATTGGTGGAGGACGTAGAAAACGCGCAGAAGAACTCCACAGGATTGTATAGCCAAACAATATTACACGACAGAAAAAAATATCACTGCAGAAGCAACGCTAAAATCCAAGCCGGGATCAGGCCGATAGTGCTAACCTTCCCGCGAGAGGTGCATTCCCCGTTCGGTATGTTTTTTTTCTTCGTATCAAAATCGTGTCAAATTCCTCGCACGCCCGGAGGGCTGTGCTCTTTGTAAGTATTTTTAAAGAACACGTGTATGATCTGCGCTGCCCGCTCCCTCGCTCCCTCGCTATATGCATGCCCCATATATGGGTGATGTGGACGTTTTTCAGGTGAGAAAAATCGTGGACGACGAGCAAGTGTCTCACGTCGACCCTAACATCATCCAGCAACCAACCATCTCGGCGGAGAGGCTTTCCAGGATGTGGGCTACGGCAAAAGCGAAGTGGAACCAGCCATATGCCAACTGGAAGAGTGAATCCGGCAACAACCAGCCATGGCTTTCATTTTGTCAAGGTAAGGGATGGGTGGAGTGGGGCTGGGTATAAAATAGCGTCTGTTTGCTCGAGGAACCTTGGGCGATTTTGTGGTCGTGGCATGAATTCCGCTCATCCTCCTTCACAGCGTGCAAGTGCTGCTACTGTCGGAGTTTTGATGTTAGACTTGGAGTTCTCGACAGTGTTGTAAAACGTGCTCCAGGGATGACGTTGGCATTGAGGCCTGATTGGAACGGAGTGTCTGCACCATGTACATTTATCGTGTATTTTGAAGCACGGCCAAAGACCATACCAGTTGGTCCAAAAAAACCTCCCGCCCGCGCCTTGCACGTTCTTTTTTTTAAAGGGTGCACGGACACGTATGTTCTCGGTTGCGCAATCGAGAAATACCCCGAGCTGAACTAAGTGTGCAACAATCTCCTCCCCGAGGGCGTTCAGCGAGAGGACAACGGGACCGGAGAGGGCATTATCTGCAACGGCGGTGCCGAGCGCCGTGCGGCCACCAAGCGGGAGGGCGCCAGGCTCAACGAGCAGAACAGGCGGGGGAAAAAGCAAAAAAATACGGGGGTGGGGCAAAGCGTGGCAGAGGCTACGTCCGCTGCCATGAAAACCGCACTCACTCGTCGATATCGAGCCACTGCTGGGAAAGGTTGGCGGATCGGAAAAATCAGAGTGGTCCAAAGAAAGGAGGAACACGCTTGCAATGNGGGCAAAGCGTGGCAGAGGCTACGTCCGCTGCCATGAAAACCGCACTCACTCGTCGATATCNCATATATACTTGCACAAACGGTGTGCTATCTAGAGACACCGACCACGGCTTGCAAAGGTAGCGGTTGGGACAGCTCGGGCAAAATGTTACTTGTTGTGCGCAAGTTTTAGTTTGCAATTTGGTGCCGAGATGGTGAAATGGGCTCGAGTCTGCTGGGTATTTAGGGCGCGCAGACACCAGACAGACACCAGACAGACAGCCATCGAGTAATTTTCACGCCCCTTATGTTTTGCATGCCTTAGCGGTTAGACCATTGACCACGCGTCCTCGAGAGGACGGAGCATTGTTCCCACAGGACCGATCACCGATGGCCAATCGTTCCTTTCTTTTTTGCCAAAGGTGGCTCAAAAATGTTTTCCCTTGTCTGTCTATCCTAAAAATATCCCTTCCCGCCTTTTCAACCCACCTCCTATGCCCCACTACAGCTACCGTCCTTTCCTCTCTATTCCATGCCTCAAACATCTCCCTGTACGT